TAGAAATCCTTATATTAGAGGGATTAGTTAATATAAAATATTAGTATATTAAAGGCAGATATAGGTATATTAATTATACCCTGGTGCCAGAGTAAATAGAACTTAAAAGGCTATAGTAGTAGCTTAAAAGCGCTAGGAAATAATTTAAAGATAAGATATTAAAAATATACTAAGATGCATATTACTAGAGGCTTTATAATAAAGAATTAGAGAGATAGCTATATAGAACTAGTGCTAATATTAATAAAATCGCTAGGTTTATAACTTAATATTAATTAAAGAAGCGAAATTAGTTATAGGAGATCTTTTCTATTAATAGGCAGCTAATAGTAAAGGAGTTTATTACTTAGAAAGTTATTATAATTAATCTTATAGCTGCTTTAGCATATTGCCAGGAGATAGCTTATTTTATATAACCCTTAAGAATAAATATATATAGTAATGCAGATCCCTAAAAGGAGGCTAAGGATATCCTGCTCCTAATAGAGAAAGTTAACTTAATTCCCTAAGTATTAAAGAGGATATAATACCTAATCTGTATTAAGGATAAGGCTTTAACTTATAAGGCTTAAACCTATAAGATTATATATATTACTTATATAATAAATTATATTAAAAATATCTATTTATAGCATAAACCTTATTATATTATATAGGTTTATTATTATTTTAACTGCAAATATAAAGGCAACTTTTTAAAAAGCCTTAATTATTTTAAGAACTATATCTTAATAGAATATAAAGTAAACTTTAAAAGTAATAAGGATTAAACTAAATAGTAGGTTATTATATTATATAGTATTAGTAGAGTATCCTATATTACTTTAGCCTCTTTTGCCTTATAATTAGGAATTAGGGTAGTTTAGGTATTATATAAGGTATTAGTAAGTAAGGGCTTTTTTCCGGCTATTATATATTATATAGGAGATAATAGCTTACTTACCCTAACCTTATTTACTAAAAATAATAATTAGCTGCCTAGGAAAATATATATAAATAGCTATATTTAATTATATATCCCTTACTACTTTTTAAATAGGTATATATATACTATATAGTACTATATAGTATAATACTTTTTTTAGCATTAAGGTGCCCTTTACTAATAGCTAACTTAGTAATTAATTAGAGATATATAAATAACTTACTAATAATACCTTATACTTATAGTAAATAACTTATTATATATTATATAGTAACTAAACCTAAAAAATACTATAATAAAATTAAAAAATATTTATATATTTCTATCTTAATACCTCTTATAGACTAGCTAGATAAATAAATAAGGCAACCCTTAATACTTATTAATACTATATAGCTTAAGTAAAAAGTAATAATATAGTTTTAATTACTATTATACTAATAAAAATAGTTATATATAATAGTAATTAAAATTAGTTATCCCTTAGATATTTTAGGCAAGGGCATATTAGTTATATAATATCCTTTTATCTATTAATATACTATTTTACTACCTTTTGCTAATGGTTTTATATATATATTTATTAATAGTAATATAACTCTATAGTAGAAAATTAGCCTATCTTTAGCCTTTAAATGCTTGCTTTGTTTTACTATATCTTAAAGTAGGCATTATAAAATAGTTTTAAAAAAGATAACTAATTAAATAAAGTAAATTAAATCTGTTTTAGCTATTAAATTACCCTTAAGAAATGCTTTAAATTTTAATCTATATAGCTATTATATATTAAGTGTTTTAATATTTTTTTTTTTTATTTTTTTTTTTTTTTTAAGTTTGTAAGTTAGCCTCGAAAGGTATATCCAAGCATCTCTAGAGTCTAATATAGTTTAAACATTTATTGCCCCTACAGCCGGCAAAGCTTTATTAAGTCAAATTATCATAGTTAGCTGCCTCAATTGCAGCCTAAACCTAGCTGCACATATGCCAGCTGAAAAGCCTTACCTGCTCATCAGCTGGCCCCAACCTTCTTCCTACAACCCACCTGAAAGGCTACTCTTTCATCGACCTCTGCTGCATACCACGCTTCAATCATCTATCACGCAGTAAGTCATCCGACCCGACCCGAATACCTTCTGGCCGCAACCGCTAACAGCATCACAGCTGCCCCGTCACAATGCCTGCTATCTGAAGAAGCCTGCAGGCACCCAGGCCCGATGAGCCTTATCTGACTGAAGGCCATGATGTGATCCCTAAGATTGAAGAAGCTCTTAGGCGAAATAAGGGCAAGGGCGATATACTATATATAATGGCTATAGATATTAGAGAGGCCTGGTTTAATAAGGATAATGCCAGCCGCGTTAGGATAGCAATCTTTAATTGCAAGATCCTCCTGCTTATATAGTCTATTTATAAGAACCCTCTAATTAATAAAGACTTCCTTAAATGCAAGAAGTAGAAGCTTAAGGATCTAGAAAGGAAGCTATGCAGAGGGGTATAGCCAAGCAGGAAGGAGAGGGGGTTCTTTAGGGCCCTTAATGGCGGCTTGCATAATAAGTGGCTTAAGGATATCCGGTGGCAGGCCAAGGAGGTACTAGAGAAGACCAAGAACCTATAACAGGCTGGTTATAGTCTTAGACTACGAGAGCGTAATTAAGATAGGGGGATATCGTACCGCGATATCTGGGATGGAAGCGGGGTAATCGCGGGGTTTGGAGGAAAAATGTATTGAGTTTTGTGTGAGTTTAGTTGCCTGAAGTTAAAGACCTGAAGTCGTGACTGAATTTGGCGTTGGCGGCGAAAAGAGGATCAAATGAGTCACGAGACAGATCATGTGACCAAATGAGCAAATCAGCTGTAACATCAGTACACCATTAATATAAACAGGGGAAGTGTTTTAATATATAATATATAGTTAATTTTAGCTACTTAAGCCCTAGGTAGTATTTATCCCTACCTAAACCTAATAAACCTAACTAGCCTCTTAATACCCTTAAAAGATATAAATGCCTAAGCATTTTAAACTAGCTAGTTAACTGCCTTAATTAACTGCTAGCCCTACTAGCTAACTAACTAAGAGGTTAAAGGTGCCCTTTAAGCCAGTTACTTAACTACTTATAATATTTTATAAAGTTTTAAGGTTAGTATTAGTCTTAGAATAGGCTATGCTTTATATAATAACCTATTCCTTTAATATAGTAGCCTAAATAATATATTATTATATGCTAAATATCTTCCCTAGCACTTTAATTTAAAAAGGTAATTAGTTAAAAACTAGGTATTTAAATAATTATATATTTATTATCTTTAAATATAACTAGTTTAATAAAATAAGTCTTGCCTTTATATATAGCTACTTTAAGCTATTTTAGTAGACTTATATAAAAGATCTCTTTACTTAGGTATAATATAAATATAAATAAGGGATAACTAATATCTAATTTAAAACTATTAAATTAGATTTCTAATTTATATTAGGCAGTTTTATTAAAGTATAAAGATTTCTTAATCTTAATAATAAGGTTTTTCTATATAACTATATTACTGCTTAGGCCGCCCTTTACTATATTATCCTTTAGAGTTATTATTAAAAGATATTTATATAATTTATTCTTTCTAAAGAATATAAAGATAGGGATATATCTATATAACTGAACTTTATTTACTTATTTATATTCTTTAAAGAGAGGAAGCTAGGGTTTTATATTCTTTATTATAGACTCTCTAATAGTATACTTAATATCCCTTAAGGCTAAGTAAGAGCTAAAAAGGCCTAAGGGATTGACTCCCTTTATGGTATTAATAAGACATAGTATAGTAGAAATATTTAGAAGTGGCTTAAAAAGAGAAAAGAATAAAGCTATATATTATAATTATATATATAGTATATTATATATATATAGCTCTTAGGATAAATAAGTCTTTATATAAATTATAAATAATAATAATTCTTTAAGGTAAAGGATAGGTTGATTTTTTACTATAAAGTGGTATTATACCTTTTAAATATATAAAGATACTAATAACAGCCTAATTATGCTAACCCTATCTGCTAAGAATATTAATTAGTTATTAGGTAAAAAATAAATTTTATATAGTATCCCTTTTTACTGTTTGAATAGGTATATATATACTATATTATAAGCTTTCTGGCATTAAAATACTTTCTGCTAATAGCTAATATAGTAATTAAAATGGCTAATATAACTTCCTTATTAATATAGTACTATATAGTATAGTATAGGTAAGCGCCTTATTATATAGTAATAGCTACTAAACTTCTTATTATATAGTTAGAGGTTTAATAATTAGTAGGTTTTTATTAACTTACTTACCTTTAATAAGTTAGTATAAGAAGATTTATTAGTATTTTATATAGATTTGCCTTAGATTTAGGATAGCACTTTAATTATCTTATAGATTATAAGTAAGGTTAGTTAAAAAAATACTAGCTTATTAGTAACCTTCTAATAGCTTATGCCAGTATTAGCCTAATATAGAAAGTACCTAATTAAGTAAAAGTCTATAAAAACTATAAAATCTCTTATTAGTGCTAGGTTTATTAATTAGGCTATATTTATATATATATAATATTTATCCTTTATATAAGTATCTCTTATAGTATTACCTAAATAGCAGTTTCTTATTAATACTCTTTATATCTTCTAGTTTAAGTTTTGCTATTTTAAAGGGTTTTAGGTGAATTTTATATTAAAATAGTAATACTTAAATATTATTAAAACTATGAAATATTAATGCTTTTATGTTTAGGATGCTTATATAGAATAATATCTTTTTTACTATTATACTAGCTATAATACTAGTAAGTATAAGCTATAGGCATTTCTTAATATTTATATTAATATCTCTTTGTTTTTGGCAATAATAGATATTCTTGGCAATATCTAGCCTTATTATATATTGCTTATTTATTTATCCTTTAGTAAGTTATCCTGGCCTAAAACTTATAGTAATTAGTTAGGTAAGTAAATAAATGCTTAATGCTATATATTAGAGGTAAATAATTAATTTAATATTATAAAAGATTTAATTTATATAGGCATAGGCTAGGGGATAGTATTTATTTATTTTAAGGCAAACTTATAAAAAGTATAGCCTTATTATTAAGATAGCCTTAAATAAGCTTAGCTTTAAGATACCGGCTATATATAAAGATATATATAGCTATATAGCTAGTAGTAAGGTATTTTATTTAAAGAGTAAAGTATTTTATAACTAGACTGCTTTTAGTATTTAGCAGGATATTATATTTGCTATTAAACCTAAGGATTATAAGTATTAGTAAGGCTTCCTATTTCCTGCTTTTAGCCTTAAGGGGCTTTATAATGCTAAACTTATTATTTAAAAGTATATTTTTCTTTTTCTTAAATAGCTTAATAAGTATGCCTTATTCAAGATTAAAGGAATTAATATATTTATAGTTTATAACTAGCTTATATTTAATATTATTAGTAAGTTATTATACTTTTTATTTTATTTAATAATAATATATTAACTAAAGATAGGAAAGCTTATATTTAGTATATTGTTTGATTTTATTACTAAGTAGAAAGAGGATTTTTATATTTCCCTAATCCTAGAGTTTATATATTATTTTACTATAATATATATAGCTAAGTAACTATTAGTTCCTAAGATTATAATATCCTAGCTAATACCTAGGCACTTAAAAGATAATCTTATTAAATATAAAAGAGAGATAAGAAAGAAGGTTTTAGCTTAAATTTAGGCATAAGACTTTAATAAGCTATAAGATTTTATTTATTATATAATTTAAAATAACTACCTAGATATTAATTACTTTATTAAATAAACTAAAATCCTATTATTAAATAGGTCTGAGATAATTACTATACTTCTTGCTAGCATTATTTATTTCCTCCTTAAGATACTAGAAACACTCTCTAAATTATAATATAAGGTGCAGTCTTATTTTATATTAATAGACTAGATTAAGGGAACTTTAGTAAATAAACTTATTTATCTTAAGGCCGTTATTAAGGAAGGTTTATAGGTAATTCCCTTAATACCCTTTAGTCTTCTAAAGACTTACTTAAGTATTATAATTAATAGCTATTTTATTCCTGCTAAAATAGATATTTTTATTAATAACTTTATATTATTATAGGATTTTTCCTGCTTTCCTTATCTTAAATAATTTAAGCCTAGTTAATAGATTAATAAAGTTAAAGAAAAAAAGAAAGAGGCTAGCTATTTATTCTTAATTAGACCTTATACTTATTTAGAAATATAGCTAGTAAACCTTAAAATTAGGATTATTATTATTATAATAGTATACTTATTTAACTAGAAGCTTATTAATAGTAAATTAAATTAGTTTTAAGAGATATAATTTATAATATTCTAGCAAAAACCCTTACTATTTATTAGGTTTTACTATTATAGTAGTTATTATATTAAGTAAGCCTTAAGGAATAGGGGTATTTTATCTGCTATAGATAATAGGTAAGAAGCACTATATATACTTTAACCTTGCTAATTGCTATAAGTAATACTAAAGCATTATAATCTCCTATAGATTGAGGTATAGCTACTGTTTTTAAGGACTAGGGCAGTAAATCTGCATTTAAGGCTATAATTATCTAAGTCTGTTATTAAAGGATAACTTTACCTAACTGTGCTATTAAACGCCCTAATATAGGCAAACTTGCAGTACTTATTATACTTAGTTTTAAGAATCTTAAGATAATTATTAATATAGGGTAGTAGTTTAATAGCTTAAAAAGTATAGTTTTTATATTAATTACCTTAAAATATTATTAATAATAGAAAGATTGCTATTAAATAGAGATAATATAATATAAGTCTATTATGCCTAGTAGGCTAATGCTTAATAGGCTTTAAAGCTAAAGGTATATATACTTTATTAGTTATTGCCTTACTCTCGCTAAGCCTATATAATTCTTACCTTATTCCTTTTAGTCTAGTTATTACTTTTCTTCTTAGTCTTTATAATTATTAGTAGTAATAAGTTAACTTAAAGCCTAATCCCTCTAAGTATTTAGTTTCCTATCTTTAGTAGCTAAAGTAATGCCTATTATTAATTATTTAAGGGCATTATAGGTTATTAATTAGTATTAATAAAATGTTATTAGGTTAGTAGTGTTCCTGTTATCTCTATTTTAAGCAACCTGTAGCGATTATAAACCTAATTATAGCCTGCATTATGTCTATATCTGGCTTTTATTCCTAACTATCTAATACTGCCTTACCTCCTAGATAAAAGGAGAGGTTACTGCGTTTCTTATTTATACTTTAAAATATCTCTTTATATTATATTATTTATTTTATATATTAAAAGAGGAAATGCTTTACTATTTCCTTTACTTACTTATATAGATATTTATTTATTAATAATGCCTTAATCTAATATAGGTAACTATTTAATTATACTATTCTAGTTCTTAGTTATGCTAATATACTAGCCTCTTTTTATAATAATTAATTATATAGCAGGCAGGTATGTTTACTAGGCAGAGCTAAGTTAACCCTTCTAGAATGCCTGCTTACTCTATCTAGTAGCTTCTTTTCTATTTATAAATCTACCCTTATTTAATTAAGAATTATAGTCTTTACTTTAATTATTTCTCTTTATAGTATTATATATAGCTTTATTATATAATAAGCTAATATCTTAGCTATTTTCTAGATTTTAAGCTTACTATTATATAGTAGCTAGATAATGTTAGCTCTATTTCTATCTCCTTAAAGCTTCTCTATAGCATTATATATCTCTTATATATATCCTTAACCTAACTGCTAGTAAGGGTTACTTATAGCTTATATAGCTAATTTATTACTTATTATAATTATAATAACTAGATACTTTATCTCTAGCAGGTAGTTAAGACTATAAGCGATTGCTGCCAGTTTGGCTATATATAGGTTATATTTTTCCCTTATACCTAGAGTAACTAAAAAGGCTTTATTAATCTTGCCGGCTCTTACTACAGATATAGGGATTCTAATAGCTACTCCTATGCCGACTAGATTATTCTGCGCAGAGCTACTTATCGCTATCCTAACCGCCTATCCTGCTTTAGCTAGCTCTTTGATCTTGTTTTCTTCTTCCTCTCCTTAACTGTTTAGTATAACTTATAGGCGTGCCTCCTACGGAGCGAGGGTGAATGGCTAAATGACTTCTATAGTATCCTTTAGTACCTCTGCATATATCCGCGATGCGCCTAAGTAGAGATATAAAGCGCCTAAAGTCTTTAATTCCTTATAGGAGGTTCTGGACCGGGTTGGTCTGCGGCAGCGTGTATATGTTTACCTATAACTTACTTGCTTGTCTCTAGAACCGATTGTAAATAGTCGCTATATGGGCTTTAGCCTTAGCTACTCCTGTTGCTATGCTTATAAAGGACCCTATAATTGCTTGCGCTCCTATCCTTTATACTTAATAGATTATATATATTAATGCTATTTTATATATATATATCTAGATATTAGAGGCATAGTTTATAATAGGGGCTATTATAGCTATAAAGAGCTGCCTTATTATTAAGGGAGTAATTCCCTTTAGTTATTTTAGTTTTATTATAGCCTTAAGGCCTTTTATTACTGCCCTTATAATATATTACTTATAGTAAAGTTATAAGTCTATAATAATACTTAGGATTTTAACCTAATTCTTTAAAAAGACTTTTTTACCTTTAATAATAAATAGTTTTAAGTTTACTTTACTTATATATCTAGTAAAATATATAATTCTTTTTTTTTTTACTTTAAAAGTTATATTACTCTATCTCTCCTAATTAAGAGCTTTATTAATAACTACTTATATCCCTTTTTAATTACTTTAGGCTATTAGTCTTAATACCTATATTATATAATTATTAATAAAGGCAATAGTATTATTATTTTTATTAATTTAAGTTTATATTAAATTTATATTAAAAAATAGAAATAATATTAGTAATAAGGGCAATCCTTATAGAAGTCCTACTTATAGTAAAGGTTAGCTTTTAGAACTCTAGCTATTAATTATAATAGTTATAATCTGCTTTAAATAAAAGGAATTAATTTAATATAAAAGATCCTTAAGGATTCCTCTTGCCTTTATTTATTATAATAATCTCTCTTTATATATATTATTATATACTTTTTTAATATTAAAACTAATAAGACTTATAACCTAATATAAATACTATATTAAGAAGATATATTCTTATAGGAATATAAGGGCTTGCTTTACTAATTATTACTTCTATATGCTAAAATAGTTAGTTAGAAGTAGCCTATAAGTCTTTATTATATAAGAGATTTTCTTAATAACTACTAACTCTAATACCTTACCTAATATAATAAGAAGTAAGATTAGTCTTTATGCTTTTATAAGTATATAGTTATCTTTATTTAGCTTCTTAAGTAGGATAATTTAAGTATATCTTTATTAATTTAGTATTATATCTTTCTTTAGTAATGCTTAGAAGATATTAAGGATATTATATTTTATTAAAGGCTAAACTTACTTTTAGATAATTACTAGCAGTTTATTTTCTTTTAATGCCTTTTATAACTTTATTACTTATAATTAATATTTTACCTCTTTTAAAGTTAGATTTAATATTATTATTAAGACTCTTTATTACTATAGTCCTTTATCTTTAATATTATCTAGTAGTAATAAAAAGAACTTAAATAATAATTCTTTAGCTTGCTCTTTATAGTAAGTTATTACTATTTTATCTGCCTTAATAAGCTAGGGTACCTTCCTAAAAGCTATATTATCCCTAGACTTTATATATTTAGTTACTTTTTAGATATTATTATTATTTACTAAAAACTCCTTTTAGTAATTATTTTTTTATTACTATATAGCATTATAGTATTACTTTATTATAGCCTTTATTATATTCTTTAGATCTTTAATATTCTATCTTATATACCTTATAGTATAGGCTTAATTCCTTTAGTATATATATATATACCGCAGCTATATAAGGTTATAAGTCTATTACTGCTTTATATATAATAATGCTTTAGCCTTAAGTATTAGTACTTAAACTGCTTTTAGTATAGCTAATATTAACCTATCTGTTTTCTGCTATATTATATTTCCTATTAGCTTAACTCTTAGTATCTTTATAATCTTATTATTAATTTCTTTTTAAGGTATATTTTTAAATAAAAGTCTTTCTTCTTATTTTAATATTAGGACTAAAATATTAAATACTATTTTTATTATATAATAATTTAATTTATACTTTATATTATATATTATATATTTAATATTTATATTTACTAGCTTTTTAAAAGCTAAAACTAAGTTAATAATAGTTTTATAATCTTTACTTTACTATATTTTTATACCTTAGTAAAAAATGCTTTTAAATATAAAGTTATTTATTAAGTTAATAATTAAATCTACTTTACCTTATCTCTTTATTAATATATTATCTTTACCTTATATTTAATTATAGTAATTAAAATTACTAATAATAACTAGATTTACTGCTTTTCTTAATTTCTATTTTATTTCTTTAATAGCTTTATAAAGCTTAAAGTATATATCTTATAAAGCTTAGGCATTTTCCCTAGGTATATAAATAGATATTATAAAAACTAAATAATTTAGTAATTAAATAACTACTACTATTATATTTAGGGAGTTTATTAATACCTACTTGGCTTTTACCTCTTTATTTACTTAAAGTATACTTTAAATTACTTATTTACCTTCCCTTTTTATTATAAGTTCTATCTTAATCTATTTATAATACCTTATAGGTATTATTAATAATTTATTTTAAATCCTTTATATTTAAGGTTTTTAAATAGCTAATATAGTTATATCCTAAATATCTTTATTATTTATTAAATTATTATATATTAATCTTTATTTCTTAATATTTAATTAAAATATTTAAAAAGTTTTATTTATATTATAATAAATAAAGCTTTTAATAATTTTTATTATATAACTTATAAAGACTACTATATAGGATATATTTTAGAATTATTACTTAAATTATCCTAGTTAATAGCCTAGCTTTATTTTCTTTTAGTTTTAAAATATTAATTATATAATAAAGTATATTTATAAGGTTTAAAGAAGTAATTAAGGTTTTTAAATTATTATAAGGTAAGAATTATATTAATTATATAATATTAATATATAATTATTAAAATTTATTTATTATATTTATAATAATAGTTTTAAACTACTTATAAATATATTATAGCTTTTTAATTATCTAATTCTTAATCTTTATTATTTACTTATTTATTTTATATATTATTTCTTTTTACTTTATAATAACTTCTTTAAGTTCTTTAATTATTTTTATTTATTTTTTTAGTACTTCTTATAGCCTTTTAATCTCCTTATATAACTTTATTAAGAGATTTAAAGCCTTTTATTATATTACCTTTTTATTATTATTATTATTATTATTATTACTTTTTTAGGTTTTAATTAATTAATTAATTTATTTTTTAGCTAGTGTATTTTATATTATTTATTAAGCAGTTTTTTATATTTTTTTAGCAGTATCTTCTAATTATTATATAATATCTTAAACCTTATTTATTAGCCTTATTATTTAACTTAGTCTCTTTAGTATTAAAAAGGGGGCATTATCCTACTTTACTATAATCTTAGCCCCTATTAGGTCTGCTATAACAAGCAGTCTCTATTATGAATTTTCTCCTAACTAATGATAATTCTTCTAATCCCTTCGCGTGTAGTTAAAAATGCAGCATCCCTAGTCCTACTGCCTAGTAGTCAATCTCTCCCCTAGTCCTACAGTCCAAAATCAATTATACAACAATTAATTTAATTTACCTTACTTTATAAGGGGTTGACTTGATTTTTGGAAAGGGGTAGACTTGATTTTCGAAAAATAGACTAGCATTAGGGTAAACTTGATTTTAATAGGGGTTGACTTGGATTTCTAATTAGTTCTTAGTTATATGTTTAGGCAAGATAACACTTTAATAGCAGCGCGTCGAGCTTTGAATCCTATTTATTAACATCTATTACAATAAATATAAGATCTAACTAACAATTTATTATTTTTTAGCTTATTTTAAAAATATCTATTAGACCATGGCACTCAAGCCTATAACAGAGCTCGGCCCTTCCAACCCTATATACCCATTTATGCTTCTTTCTTAATATCAGATTCTTATTTATTAGAAGTGCCAATATGCATGCTTGGCTAACGAAGTCACCACTTATCTTGCTAAAAAGCATCCTAAGATAAAGCCAGGGGCCCAATGCAGTCTAGTAGATAATACTAAAGTAATACCGAATATCTTATAAAGTCAGGTCAAGCTATCTCAATTACAGTATCCACCACTATCAGCCGAGCCCATCCCCTATCTCGCCCCTCCCAAGCTTAATATGCTCGAATGTCGACATTGCAGTTACAAGATTCGCCAAGTTCAGGCGATGCAAGAGCATTATGCCAAGTCTCACGACTAGGTCAACCCCAGAGGTAAAGGAAGGCCAATAACAGGATTTCTAACGGCCGATCCTCTGCCAAGGTCAGAAGGTGTCGCATGTTAACGATTCCTTCCTTCTCGGGAAGGTAGCAAATGGTTCCAGGTCAACATACGGACAAAAGGACGGGCAGACAGATCAAAACTAAAGCCAAGTACTAAGAAGCCGCAAGGAACGCCCTATATTCTTACATCTAAGGCATCCACCCATCTACAGCAAGTCATAGATCGGGAAGCCAGATATCGAGAAGCTTTAAGTCAACCACAAGCAGCTGTCAATGACACAGGCACCGATACGTTTGCCGCTACAAGTTTATGGTTAGATAGAACACAATGGCCTTCTATCTACCGAGGGTCCCGACGAGACGTCCTGCGAGCGTTGATCAGACTACCCAATCGCCCCTCTCTCAACGCAGACTACACCTTGGGACAAGGCAATTCAGAAGGCGCGCCGAACCTCGTAAGCCTACGAGAGGATGCACAGAAGATCTTATGCATTATGAGAGCACTTGACTTAGTAATAGACCGTTGTGAGGAGACGGTTAGCTATACTAGTCACAATCTTCTCTGCTGGCTGCTCAGCTTAAGGCTCTAGAGCTATCAGGAGATCGCTTTTAACCTTATAGTAGAGAGGAGTAGCGAGATTAGATACCGAAGGACTCAGAAGCAATTCTTGGCTTTTATCCTGCGAATGTACTGAATGCCGAGTGACTCTTGATGAGAAACGATAAATGTGAAGATAAAGCCTGAGATCTCCGCACAACTAGATCAGATTTGGGAGCACAACATTTGGAACTATATCGATGTGTCGAAGGGAATTTGGCTGGCAGTGGAAAGACAAGAAAGTCATCTGGGCTCTCTGCACGGCCAATTCATTAGTAATCTAATCAACACTCGAGCTTGTCAGGGATCAGATGGGAAAGAAGATGCTGAGGACGATGAGATAGATGATGAGAATGTTGAAGCTTGGGAACTTGAGGATGACGAGGACGATGAGAGCGACTATGATGATTCTGGATATTACAACGATGTTGAGGAGTGCGCGGCTGGAGCCCATCAGGATCCATTCTCAAGGGTATCGGGGGACTCTGCTGCATCTGCAGTCGGACAATTCCTCGAACTCTTGTTCCAGCTATGTATCATGCTCAGTACTGAACCTTTTCTTGACGGGCAACTAAGTTCTATGCTGCTTATATATTTTAGCGGTATTCTTGGATTCTCCGCTGATTGTCAAAAGTTTCAGCTCGCGCGACAGTATTGCTCAAAACTCTCAGCGATGATGTATATATAGCGCATATTATTCCTGGAGCAAGCATTGCCTTTGCGTGGATATCAATTCATCGGTATCCCTCAACGGCCGGAATCCAGGCATTTCGAGTGTTTCGATAAAGTCCGAGCCAAGTATATGGTTCTAGGCTCGCAGTACCCGTTGGCGGAGCTAATAAGCCTTCGAGATTTCGGACGTAATGTTGCACGTAACGAACCACCCTCTATGCTTTTCCACTGGAGCAATGATAATGAGACAGTGTCTTATGCGACTGTTTAAGTAATAATGAACGACTTCCGCAAACTCCCGGACTATTTTATTACACAGGCAGAAGCACTATGCGATCGATTGATGTTTGGGATTCAGCCAAATATTGACTTGTCGAGAGTCAAAGACGATATCACTAGTTTAAAAAGTGGTCACAGCTTTATTAAGTACCCCGAGAATGGTCTTGAGTTAGCATATTTGGAGTTACTAGTCCATGCCTACACTGCAGGAAGAACCGGATTAGCTCAAGATGGCGTTTGGAAGTGGCATGCTGTGACAGCATACTTAAAACTTGTTAGTAGGATGGAGGAGCAGCTTGCTGGCGGTCTTTATACTGCATGTGGCCAGACACTACGAATTAGTGAGCTTCTTAGTCTTGAGTATGAGAATGGTCCGAACATAAGCTGCGGGATATATGCGTAGGGCGGCTATATGGTATACATCATCTGCCATTATAAAGCAAAGCGACTAACGAACTGCGAATTCTATATGGTCTGATTCCTTCTGGTCAGACTTGGTCACGTTCTGTTTAAGTATCTGGTCTATGTTCGACATGTGGCTGATCTACTACGTCGCGAGCAGCTCGGTGCCGATAGAAGCGCCTAGCAGTGCTTGCAGATATGCCTACTATTCTAAAAATAACGGGAGGCCTTGGCCTACCTCTTGCCTGATAGACGTTGTTACGAAGACCACTTTAGAATTGTGGCAATAAAGGATCAATGTACAGACGTATTGCCAGCTGGCTATAGCAATTACCGAGAAACATGTTCGCGAGGTGTATACCCCTTTTAACAGGCATGATGATTGGAGTAATGATGCTGATATCAACGCCATATTCGCTTGGCAAAGTGGTTATCGGCTATTTCAGCGTGGGATTACATATAGACTTAATGGAGCATATCTATTTAGACTTTAGCTACAACTTCTATAGTGCTATGAATGGGCTTTATTATATTGGCATGAATTTCTGTATCAGTTAAGCAAAAACCTACGTTCTATACCTAACGAGATACCCATCGCTCCCGAGTTATTCCTAGCTAACGGGAAACGAGCCATTATAGAGGTCCTCACAGACTCCATATCTCTAATAGATAAAGCTCATTCGGCCAAAAGACAAAGATATAGCAAACTATTAATAACCTTAAGCAAGCAAGACTTGCAGTCTTTACCAGTAGAAGGTAGGGGAGATAGGCAGAATTAAGTCTTACCTGTAATATATAGTAATATCTGGCCCTATAGCTTATATGCCGAATATAGATATATCTCTTTTATAGACAGAGTTCTCTATATACTTAATAAGTCTTAGATTTTAATTTGCCTTCTCTATAAATATGCTATTCAACCTGGTAAAGGCATTAAAACGCACTTTCGAAATATATATAAGTATATAGGAGATAAGCTTAAAGGGATACTATCTTTTTATAATAAATAAGTCTTTTAAGATCTAACTAAGGTACTACTTCTTAATAATAGTAATAAGGCTATCTTATAACTCCTAAAACTAGGTAGATTTAGCTGCAATTACTATAAATTCTTATTTATTAATAAGTTAAACCTTAGGCACTATTATAGCTAATATAAACCTTAAGATAGAAAAGCTAGTAATAAAGGATAGAAATATGTTATTCTTTAGAGATTTATTAAGGGTAGTAGTGTTTAGTATTAGATTATGGAATAGTAGATAGTTAATTAATATGGACTATATTAGGCATAGCTACTCTTAAATGTTCCTGTCGTCTTGCATGGGTCTTAGTTCCCTTATTAGCCTTCTCACTATCAGGCTCACGGCCCCGGGCGTTCTAAGATCCTACCATGTATTTCCATCGGGAACGCGGCCCATTCCCGCTTCTGCACCAATCACCTTATCGTAACTATCCTTGTTTGCTACCAGCCCGGGAACGGGGCGCGTTCCCAAAATCCATCTTAGTTCCCACGTAAAATAGGGATTATCGGGGAACTGGGTCAGTTTTCTCCACTTCCCAACAATACAGCCAATTACCATCAAGGGGCCCCTCCCTACTCACTATACCCCTTACCCTTTCCATCCTAGTATGGCGCATCGAATCCGACCCAGGCCATCGAGGGCCTGCTGACGGTCCGACAGCGAAGCAAACTATACCAAATATGGAAACTGGGACGGGACCCGTCCGCCTATTAGCCGCCGCAGACTGCAAGGCGTTGACTAATAGATTCCTAACCCGTTTTAAGGATAAGATCCCTGCAGGGACAAGGCCTTACAGTACAGTGCCGAGTAAAAGATCTATCACATAGCACAAATCTCACTAAAAACGTAATTTTTCATAACTAAATGAAAATATCTTAAAGAATAGCTATGTTTTTCAGAGCATCGATTCGGGACACGAGAGGTAATGGACTCCTAGGTTTGCCAGGCGATGCGCTGGAAATGCCGCTAACAGTGCGTATTCAAGCAAGCCACCCTGAGATCAATGCCGGCTTTATTACTGTCTCATGGCTCTGCCACCTTCTAGGTCTGATATGGGACCTCCAGAATTAGGAAATGCAGGGATATAAATAATTACAATGGTAAGAATTGCAGCGCCAGTAATGCTACCGATAAAGGCCGCCGCCGTCTTTGTCATTTTCAGCCTCTGCAACCTTCATGCAGGCATCAGGCCATTTTGGAAAGGAATTTTGGCTTAGAATTTCCCTCTTAGAAAATAAATCCTGCTTAGGATAAAACAGGATATGTTTTGCTGCAGGATATTTCGGTTATGAAGACCAGCAAAGCCACGTATCTTGAATCTCGGCTAAATGCGAAATTCCCTACGCTCTGAATCATGAAGTGGCTCTGACCTAGGCAATCTATTGTCATGTAGAGCGCATCTAGACCTCTGAAGCTAGAGAGACCGATAATTGGGCGTTAAGGTAGATCGTGATGGTAGCGTGATAATGGTAGTGGCGACATGCGCTCAAGTGTTGATTGGTTATCAGACGTATCTTTCAACTGGCATTATAGCTTCCTAGCCAATCTATAGGTATTTGGCATGGTGATCTCCCGTGGCTTGCAAATTTAGGTTTAAAGGCTTGGTCTCGTGGCGGCAATCCCTTAAAAGTGGGCTAATAGAGTTTTAAAAGGCTGAGATATAAATTAGGGCCTTGATGTGGGAGCGTTGATAAGCATCTAATCAAAACTGGTCAGACCTTTTGCCCCAAAGTCAAAGAGATATGGTTAGAATGCAGTCCTCTAATAAATAAGAGCTACAGAAATCTCCAGTATATAGTAAGAGAAGAAGGTATTTAACCTATAAGAAGGTTAAGGCATAAGGCTCAAGATAGCTAGATTATAAGCTATTCCTTATCTATAAGATATATTTTATAATATTATTATTACCTAAAATTATCTCTAATTTAAACTTAAACCCTTTAAGATTTAATAATTTTATAGCCTATCTTTTAAAAAATTATTATCTAAAAACCCTTTAATTTATCCAAGATGCCTCAAGATACTAAGCATATTATATAAAGATAGTTAAAGATAAAAAAATCCCTTAAGAGTATTTAAGATACTATTATAATTACCTGCAGGAACTATAGGAAGATCTCTTAGGCACCTATATCCTTCTTAACGGAGATCGCGAGGTTAACCTGCCTTATAAGGTTAGGACCTAACTCCTTAGGTTATGTTCTTCTTTACTGCCTTATCTATCAGAACTGGATTATGCCATCTAAATTGTCGTTAAGCTTATAGAGGACTTGATCCTCCCTGGGTTCCTGAAGTCTTATAAGTCGCTGGATTAATGGAGAGGTAAAGTAGTTGGTGGCTAGAGGGGACTTCTCGGCCGACTTTTGCGGAGAGTTTTAACGCCTATATTAGAAGGGGACTACAAGGATTCTATATCGCGGTCTTCCGGTTTAAGAGAGGATAATAAGGACCCTTATTATATATGCCGCCTCTTCCTAAAAGCCGCCCTTGTATTACCTTGTAGGTATTTTCTGCAGCCTCTAGAAGAGTTACTTAACTATACTGTCTATAGTATTAGAAGTATAAGATAGTTTAAGGAGCTGCTAGAGAAAGATAGAGTAGTAGATACTAAGATTAATATTAAAGGTAAGTAGGTTAGCATAAAGCTTTTAGAATAAGCTTATTAGTAATGGCTATAGTAGAGGATTTAGATAGCCGTAAATTAGTGCCTAAGAGAAATTTGCTAATAGAATAGTAAAAATAAATGGCTATTAAGACTTAATTAGAACTTATTAGATTAAAGCTTTTTTATATAGAAGTATTAAGGCTAGGACTCTTAGAGGTTAGAAGCTAATATATAATAATTTGACGGAGTGATAATTAAAAAGATTAAGGGTTTCTGCCTGCTAATAAGCATATTGTAATTACTGCTGCTAAAGTATTATATCGGAGAAACGTAATAGTATAGACGAGCTGACTATATTATACTAAGTGGCATAGTGGACATTGCGTTATCTAATTGACCTTACTCAGGCTGGCGGTCTATTCCATTTCTATCTACGCAGCCTCTTGTAGAATGGATGGATGTCTATTTAGGCCTACCTTGAATGGAATGGATGGAAATGGACGCTAAGAGTGGGCCCATAGAATAGATAGATGTAGAAATGGAAATGCGTGGATGCTATAAAGGTATAGTATACGTGATCCTCCCACCTGTTGCCTCCCGGGCCTCTGCAAAGCTCATTTTAGCTAACAGATTAGTCCCTGGCACCTTTATATCCTTAAGGAGCTTCTCTATGCTCTTAATATAGCCTCTGCAATGCCATGATCTTACCGTCTGTATTATCCCGATTATACTAGCGTCCTGCCTGGCATAATTATCTCGAACTATTTGACCGCATATTGAGAAGAGCCTCTTAATATTAGCAGATATAGGAAAGACAGAGAGCACATCGAGAGCCATTTGTAATAGACGTGGATACTCTTCTCGTCTCTTATACCAATAGCTAATAGGATCTAGGATATTCTGGTCAGATATGTGGATGTTATGGAACTAATTGCTGTATTTGTCGCTAATAATATATATAGAACTGCTAGCCGCGTCCTCGGCTTATAATAAGGTTATTATTGATGAAGCTGATTGTAATAGAGTCGGGGCCTGACGAGATTCTTTACGATACTTATTAAAGGGATTTTAATATATGCGCCGCTTCTTCGTGACCGGCTCGCCGCGTTCTCGATCTCGAGAGATAATTCGCGGCTTGTAGTGAGACTAGTATAGTTCTTCTACAATGGACTTTGCAGTTTGGATCCAGTCTAGGCGGTCTGCCCATACGTCCTCGAAATATCTGCAATAATATGCTAGGTGAAGTGCAATAGCGGTATAATAAACCGGCGTCTTATTAAGCCGCAAGTAGTACTTATTAAGCTTTTTCTAATAGAGGTTAATATTAACCTTGAAGTGCTTGGGATCGGGATATCGATGGGCAGCAGCCTTATATGCCTCTATTTTGCCAAGGGGGTATTTATAGCCACGCAGGGTATCCCACGGACACCTATATGCCCCAATATATCCTTCCTTCCGCTTGCGCTGCTGACCATCGCCTTCGAGAGTAATCAAGACATGCTCGAAGTGTTGAGGGACCTCGTTAAATAAGGAAATAATAGCCCAGTCCTTCTCCTC